GATAGATAGATAGATAGATAGATAGATAGATAGATAGATAGATAGATAGATAGATAGATAGATAGATAGATAGATAGATAGATAGATAGATAGATAGATAGATAGATAGATAGATAGATAGATAGATAGATAGATAGATAGATAGATAGATAGATAGATAGATAGATAGATAGATCATGGTCATTGTAGATATTACAATTACTGTTTCCCTTTTTGATACTTTATTTTTGTACCCTCATTGCATGCTTTTAGTATTTCTTGTTTGTTTGTTTTTTTATTTTTTTTCTTTCTTTTTTTTTTGACGAGTCAAATCGGTTCTCCTCCTAAGATTTCATTGTACTGGCAACCTTGTGTTAACCATGACAAATAAACACAACTTGAACTTGTATTTCATTTATTAAAAAGAAATGAGCTTTCACCGTAATAATTCTTTTTTTTAAATTGACTGTTTTGAAATTAAGTTTCTAACATAATCATGCTTTTAGATAAACATTACAAATGTATCCCGACATTGCATTAAATCATCTTTATTCTTGTTTGACTTTAGGCGAGTTAAAACTAGCGTGCATTCCGGCTCTGTGGAACTGTCAGATCCGAGCCTGAACTGTGTACGTGAATGCAGCAGCAGGCAGTGAACGGGGTGTGACGTCACGTGCGGCCCAATCACAGCAGCTGGAGCAGTGAGTAGTATCGGTTCACGTTTTGCGGAGGGCTTTACGCTCCGAGTTGTCCGAGCGAACTAAAACTAAACACATTTTTTGTTATCGCCCTGATTATTTTCTGGTTTGAAACAGGAGGGAGCACACAGACTGGACCGGACCGGAGCACATGGAAACACTATGCGGCCGGAGAGACGGCGGTGGACATCTTTCTAGTTTCAGTGGAGAGAAGAGGCGAAGCGAGGCGAGATAAAATGCTCAGCCCGACGCTGCTGGCCTCGTTTCTGCTCCTTTTCCTTCTCTGCCGAAGATCTTTATGTCAATACTCAAGCGACCAGTGCAGCTGGAAGGGAAGGTGAGGCTCTCTATTTCTTTAAAAAAAAAAAAAAAAAGTAATAAAATCCTTAAAAGTTGAATAAAGCGGCTGTGTTTACAGAAAGTGTAAACCTGAGATGACTGACCGAAACTCAGGACACACAAAGATGACTTTTAGCTTGAATTAATGATAAAATAAAAAGTGTTATTTGTGTTCAGAAACTCATTTATTATTTAAAAGAGAAGTCATTTCAAGCTTTTTGTGCTGTATGTATGAATTGCTGGCAATGTGATAAGTTTCAGGTAAATACAACTAAGTTGTACATTAAATTAGTTGGTGAGACATTCTATATATACTTGTTTTTATATGATTACATTTGCTCTCATTTAGACATTAATATTGCCAACTATTTAAATATCAAAGGGCATTTTGTTCAGGTTTTATATTTTACAAGATTGAACAATCTGAAAGGTTTCTTGTTAACCATCTGTTGAAATCTGTTTTTTAAAGCTGTGCCTTCAAATAAAGTTTTTTTTTTTTTGTTCTTCCACCAACCAGTAGGGGTAGGGCATTCTTTGAGTGTCTGCTCTTCATTAGTGAGATGCTTGACTAAAATCCTTTAATTGCATGCAGAAGTGATGAAGTTGGATAGACTTAATTAAAGGCGTGCTGAGGTGAGGCTGGTTTTGGGGGCTTTCGGCTGCATCTGCTCAGCATGTGCCACCACAGCTCACTTTTAGATCTACAGCGACTTAAGAATTTTAGCATCTCATTCTTCGGTAAGCTGGGCGTTTCTCCTCCAGAGTCAAACCACGAGCTTGGCATGCACGTCCCCTCGATCATGGCTTCCTGCCTCTGGCTCTGCCACAGAATGACTGACACAGTGGAGTTTTTCTTCTTCTTTTCCAAATCCTGACCAGGCATTAAGTTGTGGAGGGAGTCATTTGGTCATACTGGCGCCAGAGTCCGAAGTGCTGCCTGGACAAGTCTCTTCCACTCTCTTTGGTGGCTTGAAAGCAAGGGGAGGTTCAGTGCGTGACCGGCATTTGCACTTGCATGCAGCAGTCCCAGCTACTGTTGCTGCTGTTGTGTGCCCAGAAGCCCCAGGGTCCCCTTCATTCATCCGTTCTGCCTCCTAACTCTTCCCAGAGGCAGACTGCCAGTGGTGCGTTTTGCCAAAGCTCTAGGCGGAACAGCGTGAGATGGGGAGTGTGTTGGAGCTGAGGTCATTTTGGATGCTCCGGCTCGTGACTGGTCATGCAGCGTGTCTTGCGCTCAGCTATAATGCTTCAGGAGGAATGTGGTCTAATGTCCTTACAGTCTGCATGAGCTCTTCACCTTAGTCTGGTTATTTAGACTAAAGAATGCTCCCCCAAAAAAATCATTTAGCACAATATTGGCTTTTTGGCCGATATGCTTCTCCACGTCGAGAGGAGCCAGTTGAGGTGGCTCGGGCATCTGGTTAGGATGCCTCCTGGATGCCTCCTTGGTGAGGTGTTCCGGACACGTCCCACCGGGAGGAGGCCCAGAGGAAGACCCAGGACACACTGGAGGGACTATGTTTCTTGGCTGGCCCAAGTGGCTGGGGAGAGGGAAGTCTGGGTCTCCCTACTTAAGCTGCTACCCCCGCGACCCGACCCCGGATAAGCGGAAGAAAATGGATGGATGGCCGATATGCTGATATATTAAAACTTATTTGGTCGATAACTGATACCAATACTGATATTGCCCCCTAGACCTACTTACAGAGACTACATAGCTTTTTCTGCTGTGGAATTAAAGTACTACATTATTCTGCATGGTCTTTGTCAGTTTGGCCTGCTACCAAATGCAGATGCCAAAAAGTGGGCTGAAAATGACGTAACACTTCAACTTGGATTATGTTTAATGTCAAACTTATTCATGATACTTACTCTCTAACACAATGACAACACTCGGAACAGTGCAAATTTGTCAATTTTCACAAATCTCAACCTGTTCACAAGCGACAACACAGCTGTGTTGTGCAAGTAGTAGTGCATTAATGGATTTACTTGACAGTTTCTTAAATTAAAAATTAACTTAAAACAGAAGACTTTTATATCGGTGAGTTATTTCGATGGGATGTCCGATATTTAACTTTATCGCTGATATCGGCTGATACTGATACCATGCCGATAATATCGTGCATCCCTAATTTTTATACTTTGCCACACACGTTAAGAGAAGTTTTTCCCTGATTGTTACTGTAGTTGAACTGTATTCCATTTTTCCGCTGACTTCTTACCCTTTTCTATCCTTTAGTGGTCTGACCCATGAAGGGCACGCCAGGGATGTGGAACAGGTGTACCTACGTTGCTCGCAAGGATCTTTGGAGTGGCTCTACCCCACGGGCGCCATCATCGTCAACCTCCGACCCAACACGGTGTCGCCTGCCACCGCCCGCCTCTCGGTCTGCATCAAACCCTCCAAGGACTCCACTGGCACAAACATCTACCTGGACCGCAGTGGCAAGCTGCGGTTACTGCTGCGTGAGCAGGACCAGGGTCAGGGGCGGGTGCACTGCTTCGGCATTCAAGAGGGGGCGCTCTTCATCGAGGCCGTCCCACATACGGACATCAGCCGGAGGATTACGGCGTTCCAGTACGAGCTGGTCAGCGACAGGCTGAGAGCAGAGGCGCTCTTACCTTCTGGTAAGATGCTTGCAGTGAACTTAAAACTAATGAAATGCTACAAAGGTCTAAAGATTAAATTCTCTTTTCCTTGTGGTGTGCACTGACACTAAATACAGCCATCTACTGGTGGAAACCTTTACCGAGTTAGACTCAAGTAGCTGGAAACTCTGCATTCACTTCAACAGTCTAAGAATACTGAAGCCTAGGTCAATCGGATTGTATAAAAATAGGGAAATCTAAAAGCCTTATTAAACCTGTATTTTTGGAATAAAGTGTCAGTATCAACTGTCAGCTCGTTTCACAACATTACAGCTCTGTGACAGACCTTAATTGTTTTTCTTTCCCTGGTTTGTGTGTGAAGGGTAAAAGCCAAACACGAGGCTTCCAATGAAAAACAGCCATCTATTTTCACGCTGTTTACCTGCCAGACCTGCAGAGTTTCATGCTGGGCAGCCGTGCAAGCAACTGTGTTGTTTTTTCCAGCTAGAGCCGAGTACGAGCAGCATCAGGCCCACATGTGTTTTTACGGCTCTTTGGCTTCATGTATCCACATCCTGCGTCACAATCTGGCACAGGGAGAGGATGAAAAGTAGATGAGAGACTCTGCAGTTGTTTTAACCACATTAGTGCGCTGGGCCCGGCTCTCTACTCTGATCTTGTGCTGTAATGTGGCATGAGATAGCTCTGGGATGATTCACAAAGACAGTGGTCTCGTGTCACGTGAGACCTGGACGGGTGGATTGATGGCTCCTTTGCTTCTTCTGGCCTTCTTTGGTCTACTCTTTCTCCTTTTCGTCTCCTCCCTGACCCGCTGTGCTGGGATCGAGTTGCTCACCATCATGTTGGAATGAGTCTCCAACCAGATGTTGGGAGGAACGTTTAGGAGCATATAGGCTGTTTTTCACTCCCCCAGCCTTCATCTCAGCTCACTTAAATTATTCCCCCCTTTCCTCGCCCCTCACCATTTCCTACCACTTGATTTCTTTCAGGTCTATTTATCATTTTGGTGTTTTTCTTTTCATACGTACCCGCTTTGTACATTTCCCTTCTCTCCTCCTGGATTTTTGAAGTGGTTTTTGTCCTTGCTGAATAAGATTAACAAGATTTGCTCCATTACAGTGGAGTGAATGTGGGCCCAGATGTTGCAGTGACACTGTACCCCTCCTTTTTACTGCCCCTCCCGTCCTTCTCTCTGTTCTTGTGAAGTGGTTCTGATCAGAGTGGTGCTGCATGTGCATGGGACCAGAACAAGAAGCTGACTCGGCTCTCTGCCCATTCCTGTGGTTCCGTTTCATATGTGAGCTCTGCCTCTGTAGGACAGCTCCCGGTACGCAGACTCACTTCAAAGTGAGCTCAGGGCGAGGCCCGCTCTCTGAAGTCGTCCTTCCGTCCAGCTGTTTGTGAGCCATCCAGGCTTGTGGCTGTTTGACCCCCTGATCTCTGGTGACGTCACAGCGCCGTGTGTTTCTACTCCAGCTGACCTCAGACACGCTCACCTTTCACACCTGCGCTCAGATTCAGAACTGAAAATCAGGCTGAGCTCTGCTGAATTAGATGACAAAGGACACGCCTTTCTTCTGTAGCAAGAAGTTTTGACCACACACTGTTCAACAGCTGAACATTTTCTCCTAGAGTGAATCATTTATTAAATCTCATGTTCCGTAAGCAGCGAGTCACGGTGAAGCCGAACGGTTTCAAGTTCACTTTGTTTGTGCTCCTTACAGGTTCTGAGTGGAAACAATGAAATCAAACTTAAAAAGTTTGTCCTGCTGCAGTTTGATAGAGATTAGTACCAAACTCCATGGAAATGATGCTAAATCTGCCACAAATCTTTTACAATAAACAAGTTTTGCTAGTGTTTCATGTACTGGTATAAGGGCTGGATGATATGGTTAAATTTTTTATCACAATATATTTCTTAATTTCAGTCTAACAATATAATTCCAATATCGATATAAAAGCCTAAAAAAAACTAGAAACTGAACAAATAAATTAATGTTCACCTTTTATTTGTATTTAGCCTTCAAAGAAATTAGAAATCACAGTCAAATAAATGTAAAACACTCAACTTTGTCAAAATTAATAGTTTTAACTTTAAACAACAACATAACCTAACGTGGGTTTCTCTTCTGATACAGCTGGGGGTGTTGTTTCAGGGACACGTTGGCTCAAACTTTTATTGTGCTTCATCTTCTGACTCTCAGCATATTCTATCGAGTGGAACAAGTTAAATGTGTTCCCGCCGCTAGTTGGAACGACTCTCCGGCACATTTTGCAGCACACTGAAACCTGCAGTTTATCGGATCTTAGAATGCCGAACCACTTCCACACCGCCGACTTAGTCTTTCCTCTCTTATCAATTATGTCATCTGCGCTTTCTTCGCTTGTGAAAGCTTGTTCTGTCACATTCTGACAGTCATGGAAACTCATTTTGAAGCGAAAACTTAACGCACGTTGGGGATTAGCCTAGCTTAGCCGGTTAACGCTAACGCCTTCTGGACTTGAGCTCTGCGTAACATCTACCTCACCGCTCACTTACGTAGTTGTGTTGCAGCTTTTTCTGTTCGGGTTGACGTGACCGCTTCAACTTGAACAGGAAAAGAAATGCGTCAGTGCAACGCTGTAATCATAGCGCAATTTATATTGAAGTATCGAAAATGCGCTTAAAACTCATATCGTTGTTGTTGAAAGTATAGCGTGAATCAGTATCAAATTATTGTCCAGCCCTAACCGGTATTTATTATTTTTTGGACTGGTCTTTATGATTTGGATCAATGAGTATCTTTTAATTAACAGCTTTAGTCTCAACTCCTTTATTTGGACAGACTATCACTTGTGCCCCACTTATAACTAGACCCCCCTTCCTCAACTTCCACTCCTCTTCTCCCCACCTACTCCAGAGTTCCCCTCTGCCACTAATGAAAACGTAAGCAGTCCCAGATTTATTAAAGATACACTGATTCAGCCAGCTGCAGGTCCACCTGGGTCAGCTAATCACTGCGCTCATTTCGAACCATTTCTCCTGCTATAAAACCGTCTGAAGGTGGACTGTCTCTCTGCTGCCACAAGTCAGAGGTGAACTGCTGCCTGGGGCATGGATTCTTGGTAGAGACCTTTAGAAATTCTCTCTTAAAAAAAAGTATTTGCCCTGTAGTAATGAGATCATGACCCTTCGTGGACCTTTGTAATGGGAGACTGGAAACTTTTTTCCTTTCTGTCTCATTTCTTAAGCATCATCACTTTGAAGCCATTCTTTGGGTTTTGTATTTTCTTTTCTTGTCTGTTTTCCACGTAAAATGGTTGCGTTCCGGTTGTGTTGGCAACACCGGCTGAACAGTCCCAATGTGCAGGCGGGCATTCTCATTCATTCCCCGATACTGATGAGGATTCAGTGTGGTTTTTTTTTAGTAGCTCTATGTGCAGTCGTATTTGGTTTAAAAAAAATCACCGTTGAATACTGCTCTGTCTTTTTAAAATAAATAATCATTTGTCAGGATGAAAAATACTGTGACACTAATGTTTTAGTTGGCCAAGTCACCGCTCTGAGTCTGGGGCTCTTAACTGGAAAGCTGCAGGCCTGTCAGCGGAGTTTTGTATCAGCCGATGAACCAAAGTGCCAAAGAAATGATGCATTTTTTTTGTTTTCGTTTGGAGAGCTCTGCTGGATTGACTTATCTACACTGTTCCTTTCTTCCTTAGCACCCTGTCAACCCTGCAGTGATGATGAGATGCTTCTAGCAGTCTGCACAAATGACTTTGGTAAGTTTCAGTCGTGCAATAAATTATAAGCTTCCTGCTGCGGTGAGGTGGCAAAAAAAAAAAGTACAACTAAAACACAGCTCTGGTTTCCATGAAACATAGCTCTGACTGGGCTCTAAATCTTATTTTTCCAGTGGCACGGGGCAGCATTAGGAAAGTGGACCAGGAAGACGAGTACTCGTCTGTCACAGTGGAGATCAGTCGCCTTTACAGACAGAAGACGCAGGTCTTTGCGTCTGGGGGGGTGAGGGTACGGAGCTGGACTGGCAACATCAAGATGCCCCTGCGGTGTAAGGTGAAGTCCGGGGAGGGGGACTTCCTTTTTACCGGGACTGTGAGGTTTGGGGAGGCCTGGATGGGTTGTGCTCCTCGCTACAAAGACTTCCTGCGGTTGTATCGCGAGGCAGAGCAGCAGGGGAGCAACCCCTGCCATGTGGACACGGACTGAGTGGAAACGCAGCGAGTCCTCGTTGAGCTGAGAGTTTGAGCCGAGCGGAGAGAAGCTGACGGACTGACAAAGAGCCTCGCTTGCCTTCGTTGTCTCCTGAATCATGTGTGCAGCTCCTGAATGTTGCCAAGCAGCATACTAGCAGTTTCAAAGCTGGAATGTGTTCAGATCGTCTTTTCAAACACACGGAACTGCCAAGTTTTAAATGTAGCAAAAAAACTTCTTTTTTTTTTTATGTGAATAAAATGTGAATGAATGTTGTACATTTTGAAGCTCTGCGTGCTTTGTAAAAAGGCTTGATGTACAGATCTGTATTTGTTTCTGAAGACAAATGTTTTAAATTGAAAACAGTTTATTTTATTTTTGTTTAAGAAAATGATTTTTGCAATTCAGTTTCTGAAATAGTTTTTTTTTTCCATGCTCAGCAAATGTAAAAATAAAAAAATTTGATCTTGAGAATAAGCTTTGATTCAGTATAATTTATTTCAAAATGTTCAGTAAGTGAACAGGATACATCAGTAAATTAATGAAATATGTGTGAAAAATTTGCAGTTTATTTCAGTTTTCTGATACGGTTTATTCTAGAGATGCGCCGCTCAAGGTGGCTACATTTCTTGATGTAAATCACCATTTTTTCAGATGATTACTTCCTCTGGTATCAGATGCTGTGCAGCTGGAAGGATTTTTATCTAAACCTTTTTTACTTTTTGGACATTTATGTGTAACCATAACAACAAGGTAGTTGTATACAACTGGGAGCTGCTGATTTAACATCTCAAAAGCTCAAATAATATCTCAGCTACAGCCCCAAAGCCCAAATGAGTTGAAAAGGAGGTGCTGTGGATGCATTCCCATCTACCTGGAAGTGGTGCTCGAGTACCTCATTGCCGAGATCTTGGAGGTAGCGGGAAACGTGGCTCATGACAGCAGGAGGGCTGAGATCGTTCCCCAGCACCTGCAGTTAAGTCTGTGGCTATGTGGGGCTCAGCAGGCTGCTGGGAGAAATGGCCATCGCTTGGGGGAGAGTTTTGCCCGGCATTCAGGCAGTCCTGCTAGAACCGAGATGTCTGCTGGGTCTGGGTGGATGGATCAGCATCTGCAGCCAGTTTCTTCAGATCTGCTGTGGGATGGACTGCTACAAGAGATTCTTCCTGCCTAAATCCATCAGCATCTAGAACAACTTATGAAACCAGGATAATGAGCTACAACAATTAATTTCCCTTTGGGATTAATAAAGTATTATTGAATTGAGTTATGGTAGAGAAATAAACATTCAATTCATAGGCAACAGCTCTGGTGGACATTCCTGCAGTCAGCATGCCAATTATTGAATGTTCTCTCAAAACTTGCGACATCTGTGGCATTGTTCTGTGTGATAAAGCTGCACATTTTAGAGTGGCCTTTTATTGTAGTCAGCTAAGACACACGTGCAATAATCATGCTGTCTAATCAGCATGTTAATATGCCACACCTGTGAGGTGGCTGGATTATCTCGGTAAAGAAAAAGTGAAGCACCCACACCTGTCTCCACCCTCATTTCCACACTCTGGGCCCTTGAGCAAGGACTTTAACCTCCACCATCTGCTCCCCCAGCTGCCCTAAATGGTAGCTCTCTGCTCCACACAGAGGGCTGTGGTAGCTCGGTGGTTTTTGGTTGTGTCAGGAAGGACATCCGGTGTAAAACAAATGTCAAGTCTTTGTGCGAGATAGTTCGCTGTGGTGACGCCTGAAGAAGGGAGCAGCTGAAAGAAGGCAAAATAAATAAATAATGAAAGTAACTTAAGCTCTAAATATCCATCATCTTTACCTGCTTCTTCCTTTGTCGTGGGGGTCACTGGTGCTCGTATCCAGCTATCGCTGTGCAAGAGGCGGAGTGCATCCTGGACAGGTCTCCAGTCCATCACAGGGACACAAACAAGACAACCATTCTCTCTCTCCTAGAGACAATTTAGAGTTACCAGTCATCCTAACATGCATGTTTTTGGTCTGTGGGAGGAAACCGAAGTACCCAGAGAAAACCTACGCATGCACGGAGAGAACATGCAAACTCCACCCAGAAAGGCCCCCCGACTGGGATTTGAACCTGCAACCTGCTCACTGAGAGGCGGCAGCTCTACCAACACAAAAAGAAGTGCATTAATGGACACTTCCCAGTCAATCTGTAATGGAAGGAACAGCTTCAGTATTGTTTTCCAGTTCAGTCCATTGGAATTAAAACCCCTCCATATGATGTGCATTAGCCTCCACACCTCAACCCTGAGCTGCCAGAGGTACACAGGGAGATTGATATCAGTGTCAGGGTGGATTCCTTAGCGCTGGTTCCTGTGGTGACGGGTCGACTGTGTGTCAAGGTCAAAGTAAAAAGCCTCTTTGTTCACTTGGGGCAGCTCGGTCTGAAGACAAACCTGAATATGGAGCTGTGGCGTGCAGCAGAAAATAGGACCTCACTCCTAATTCTGACTGACATGCAAACTGACGGCCTGTCATCTTCATGAGCTGAAATAAACAAATAAAAATACTTGACTGTGGTTATTTGCGACACTGTCTAGATGACGTCCATTCCACAGTTTCGGCTGCACCATCTTTCAGAGAGCTGCCCCAAAACAGAAAAGTGCTTTTCCAGAAAGGACCATGCGATGAATTGACGGCCTGAGTTCCAGCTGACTGCCAGACATCTTGGAATTGCTCGCTGGGAAATGCAAACAGAGTTTCCGTGGTAACATTGCCTAGCTGTGAACCTTTTCGGCATCAGCCTGGCTTTAAGACTGGAGGTCTTAAAGGTGGAGGATTGGTGGTCCAGCTGTCGTTTCTTCTCCCTCTCTGGTGAATTTTCTGCTTGCACTTTGACTTTTGTTAACCGATAATTAAGAGGATTTATTTTAGCTTCAACGTACGTTGAGTCCATCTTACATTTTTAGGCTCCCGTGTCATGGAAATTAGTTTATTGTGTGAAAGCTGATCCACACTATTGTTTTTATGTACATTTTTGTAATCTAAATACCAACTTCGATCAGCAAAGTTTGTGCTAATTTAGTCATTTATATATTCTGACGTTCAGCTCACTCAGTAGATGAGTGCTATCACTTTTGGCTTTTATAACTTTTTATACTTTTCAAAATGTTTAACTTCATTTACAAATATTTTCATTTTAGAAATACATTTAAATCTCTTCAATTCCTTCAACAGCATCGCTCTTTTTGAAATCTACTTCAGCGCACTGGCTCTGGTTTTAACTTCTTACGCTACTTTAGGCTTTTAGCAATAGCTTCTTTTAGCGTTTAGCTAGTCTAATGTTCTGCTTCCTGTTCTGCTTCAATGTGTCTTTTTCAGCTTCTTCAGCATTTTTCAGCGGTGAAATCATAAATTACCTTTCCTTTGTTTTTAGACACCATGGTTTGAACATTTTTTAAATATAACAGTGCTGAAGATTTTTTCATTTTTATAATGTTTATAGACCAAACAATTGATTCAAATGATTAAATCAGTAAATAATCAACAATACAAGGCTAATTTAGTTCATTGAATGCATATTATTTGTGGTACAGTTGACATAAAACCACACAGTAACCCAAACAAAAATACTTTACCATTAAATATTAGTTTTGTGCAATTTGTTCTTAGATTTACTTAAACAAACATATATCTATTTGACAATCCAAAATATAATTAAAGCCTCAATCTTTGGCAAAGACTGAGTTAATTGAGCATCGATTAGAAAAATACAGAAGATGATTATCACAGGAGGGATAATAAATACAATGTTTGACCAACTTCTGTGAATCTGTTATATACTTCTGTGATGGAGGGTTCAGTATGATGAAAAAAACAACAACTTTGCTTGAAAAATAAAGTTGGGTCATCTTTGGTCAGTTTGCCAAGCAGCCGTGCGTGTGCAAGAATGAATGTGTTGGACTCTTTATACACAAACATCACAGCCGTGCCGAGTGCTGTCGGCTTCTTCCTGTGCTACTTCCAAGCAGAGGGGTTTGGGGTTGATTTTTAGTCCATGTTCATCCTGACATGGTCCAGCTGGCTCATCTTTCATGATAACATTGCAGTATATTCTTCTAATGCACTCAGGCTGTTGGTGGTGCCCCAAGTTCAACATCTGTTTAGATCAGAAACACCCACTTTTTGAACCAAAGCTAAACTTGTGATTCTTATTAAGTAGAAGTTGTGTTTAAGTGTTCTCTGAGCACCAAAAACTCTCCCTGTTGGTTGTGGGTCTCAGTATAGTGGCAGTTGCACAAAGGTACTCTGGGAGTTAATTTTAATCTTAGGAATGATGCATCAACCTGATAGACATACAATTAATTGGCTCAATTAACCTAAGCCAATGAAAATATCTTTGCACATTTTATCTGGTGTCACTTTAACCATACCATACCATACCATACCATACCATACCATACCATACCATAC